GAAGAGTGGTTGCTCCTCAAGGGAGCGATCCTCAATGCACAAGCTAAGTCTATTCCATCTCGGAGGAAAGGCAGTAAGAGGGCACAGCAGCCCCCCTCGCTCTCCAGGGACCTAGCAGACCTCCTAAGGCTAAAAAGAAAAGCCTACAAAGGATGGAGGATGGGATTCACCTCCAAGGAGGAATATTCTGCACTGGTCCAGTCCTGCAGGGAGCAAACCAGGAAAGCCAAGGCTGCAACTGAACTCCAACTAGCTTCGAGCATCAAGGACAATTAAACAGTCCTTTTTCAGATATGTGGGGAGCCGGAGAAAAAGCAAGGGCAATATTGGCCCCCTGCTGAACCAGATGGGGCAACTGACGCCCAGGAAAAAGCCAACCTATTAAATGGGTACTTTGTATTGGTCTCTCATCTGTCCCATGGGACGCCCATGCCCGTTATGGGGCAGGGAGGTCCAGGTGAGGGAGATCCCCTGCCCTCTGTCAATGCTGACCTCATGAAGGAACACCTTGAGAGGCTGGATATCTTCAAGTCAGCCCGGCCCTGACAATCTACACCCCAGGGTACTCAAGGAGCTGGCGAGCATCATAGCCCAGCCCCTGACACAGATCTTTGAAAACTCCTGGCACTCTGGTGTAGTGCCCAAAGACTGGAAGAAGGCCAGTGTGATGCCTATCTTCAAGAAAGGGAGGAAAGTGGATCTGGCTAACTATAGGCCCATCAGCTTGATTTCTATCCCGGGGAAGATCTTAGAAAAGTTTATTAAAGAAGCCATCCTTAATGGACTGGCCAACGCCAACATCCTAAGGGATAGCCAGCATGGGTTTGTTGAGGGTAGGTCTTGCTTAACCAATCTCATTTGCTTCTATGACCAGGTGACCTGAACAAGGGAGAAGAGATCAAAGGCTTTTTTGAAGTCAAGATATATGACGTCAGTCTGGTGTCCCATGATCACCTCTTGGCAAAACTGACCAATTGTGGCCTTGGGCCCATCACAATCTGTTGGCTGGGAAATTTGGCTCCATGGTTGGACCCAGAAGGTAATAATTGATGGTAGTCACTCATGGTGTCCTGTGACCAGTGGGGTCCCCCAAGGCTCTGTCCTTGGACCCATATTGTTCAACTTCTTCTTCAATGATGTGGATATTGGAGTTAGGAGTGGACTGGCCAAGTTCGCCGATGATACCAAACTTCGGGGCAAAGCATCCATGCCAGAAGACAGGCGGGTGAT